ACGCACGCGCACGCGCACGCGCGCACGCACACGCACACGCACACACGCACACACACACACACACACACACGCACACGCACACGCACACGCACACGCACACGCACACGCACACGCACACGCACACGCACACACACACACACACACACTCACACACACGCACGCACGCACACACACACACACACACACGCACACACACACGCACACACCCCAGACATTGGCACGACATCCTCGCCGTCGGCATAACAGACCACATCGACAAGGCAATCGTCTATCACAGTGCTACCCCCGCCGCTGCTTCTTCCGCTGCGGCTCCTCGATGTTAGAGAAAACCTGCAGGAATGCTTCGACAGCACCTTCCGCTTTCTGGAACAAGGCTTGCTTCTGGATCTCAGACAGCTTGAGGCCTGGCTCCTCAGCGGCACCTGCCCCTGCACCATCGCCGCCGTCACGAGCAGCAGCAGCAGGCCCGTCAGCAGTAGCAGGGGATGTGGCAAACGCCTTCTGAATGTGCTCCCGTAGCTTGATGAAGTCCCGCACCTCAGGTTCGAGCTCGTCCTCCTCCGACCCGAGCTTGACACCGACATCAAATGGGCCCGCCGTGGTCCGTGGCGGCGCCAGCGCTTCGGCACTTCGCGTGAACTCCGCATTGGGCGCTTCCACCTCCAGCCGCTTGGCGTCAAGGGCCTCGCGCCTCGCTGCCAAGGATGCTTGCATCGCCTCAAGCTGGCGCTGCTTCTCGTCCAGCTCGTCCTGCATCTTGCGGTGCTGGTTCTTGGCCTTCTCCACAGCCTGCTGTGCACGCCTGTGCACCGTCTGCGGCGGAAGCATTGCCTTGCGTGCGCTCTTCGCCTCATCCAGGTTCTGCTGCATCGTCGTCCGCAGCTCCGCCAGCGACGGATCATCACCGAGAGAGGCCAAGCTCTTGTGCAGTTTGTCGATCCTGTCGGCCATCTGCGCGAACATCCTGGAGCTCTGCTCAGCCGACTGACCTTCGCCATCCGTCTCCATGGCGTCAGCTCCACGCTCCTCCGATTGAGTGCGTGGCGGGGCGGCAGCAGGCCACTGGCGCGGCCCGCCTCCGCTTGTGCCACCGCCAAGCCGAGGCCAACCCGAGTCCTTCTCAAGCGCTGCCATGGGCTTGTCAACCTTGGCGGACAGCTGCGCAACTGCTGAGGCCTCATTGCCTTTGCCCTTGCCCTTGCTCTTGCTGCCACGCCCGTCTCCTTTTGTCCTTGATTGCTGCAGCGTGGGCGATGCGGGCGGCTTTGATAACTCGCTGAGGCGCCGCCTTCCCCCCCCCCCACCCCCCCCACACACACACACACACACACACACACACACACACACACACACACACACACACACACACACACACACACACACACACACACACACACACACACACACACACACACACACACACACACACACACACACACACACACACACACGCACACACACACACAAACTGCACTCTGCTGGCCCAGTTGGCCGCCCGCCCGCATGAGCACGCCCACGCTGGCTTGCGGCGGTCAAAAAGGACCGTCGCATCCTTCTCCATGCCGCCGTCGCGGGCGGCCTGCACTGAGCAGGCGGTCCTGACCTGGGCTGACAGGCCACAATCGTGAAAGTCTGCCGCGGACTAGCGGTATCCAATTTTGCCAATGCGGGCTCAGCCCGCCAAAGCATTAGACTTGAGCCAAAATGGCTACGGAAGGAGGAGGAGGAAGAGGAGGAGGAAGAGGAGGAGGAGGAGGAGAAGGAGGAGGAGGAGGACCCCCTCCCCCTCCAACTCATGGTGGTGCTGGTGGAACACGGGCCCACCAGAGCACGGTCGGCGGCTCTTCGCTCGCCGACCGCCAGACCGTTTTCCACACTGGCCGATTCTCGGGGCCGCCGGCGGCGCTCCACCTTGCACGCCCGCGCTGGGGTCAGGTCGGGCGTCTCCCCCTGCAGGCGGATCATGGACGAACAGCAAGACATCTTCGAAAAAAGTATCCCAAAATAGTAGAGACATCGTCCCCATACTGTTTTTCTCATTTTTGATTACTCCAGATTTCGTCATAAAGGGAGGGGGGTCTCATTTCGGGGGGGGTCTCTTCCAGGCTATCTTGGAGGGCCTGGGGGGGTCTGGGGACGATGTTTTGGAGGGTTCTCCCACGGGGGGGGTCTGAAATGGCTTATCTTGGAGGGTCCAGACCCCCCTCCCTTTTATTACGAAATCTGGAATACTCCTCCTGTGCAGGGACAGGCCCGACCTGCCGCTGGGGCCGCGGCCGCGTCCACACAACAGTCCCCGGCCGCACGCGGACCCCAGTTTGGGGCGGCCGGGGGCCTGCTGCCGCTCCAGCTGCCCGCGCATGAACCACAGCCGTGGCTCGTCGGCCGCCCCGCCGCAGAAGGCCGCCAAGGTGTCCCTGGGCTCCTCCGCCTGGGGGGGCCACATTAGGGGAAAAACAAACCTACCTCGCTTTTGACCACCCTCGCTTCCAAGAGATACCAAACGATGCCAAATTGCAGCCTGTACTGGTCAGGCCGCTTGACGAGGAGGCGCGTGGTATGGCTTGGTTTTGCCTGGAAGCGAAAGCGGGATAGGTAATTCACGCTCTGACACATGCGAACCCTGCCCCTGCCCCGCGCGATTTCGGAGGGGGAGGGTGGGATTCTCTCGGTTCGGGAGCCCCCGAGCGAAGTGCACCACACCCTCCCCCTCAAAAACCGTGCGGGGCAGGGGTGGGATTCGCATGTGGCCCCCTGTCCTCCTCCGCCTCGGGCTCCGCCGCCGCCAGGTCGGTGGCCGCGCGCTTGAACAGCGAGCACCGGCCATCCTGCGCGGGCTAGGAGGGGCCACCCATGAATAACTAACACACAAATGATACCAATGTATGGGATTCGCCTCGAAGATGTAACTAGACTCAGCTTCTCAGCTACTCATTTTACATCGGGAAACCATGCTTAGCAAAGGGGGGTCAGCCTGCAGCCGTGCGCCGCGCCGCGTGCCTGGCGCGTGCCCGCCCCGGGTGCAGGATCGGTGTGCACGCCACCCCCCCCAAGCATGCCCAGGACGGACCCGGGCACGCACGCACGCACGCACACACGCACGCACGCACGCAAACAAACACACACGCACGCACGCACGCACGCACGCACATACACATACACAACACACAGAAAGACACACACACACACACACATACACACACGCACGCACGCACGCACGAACGCACGCACGCACACAAACACACAAACGCACACACATGCACACACGCACACACGCACACACGCACATACACATACACAACACACACACAAAGACACACGCGCACACACAAACACACACAACACATACACACCACACAGTATCTCACACACAGACACTCTATGAACGTCGCAGAGCGACAGAAGGGATCCGCACGTGCCCTCTAGTTGGCCGGGGTCTGGCGAAAGAATTGTCCGGGTGCAAAGAGGGGAAAAGAGGGCGGAGGGCGGCCCCGGGTGGCGGGTGAAAGCGGGAATATGCTCAATGCGCGACGACCTTCGTCAGAATTGCCGGTGCGGCCAGCCTGTGCTGAAGTAGCCTGGCACCACTAGCCTGCAGGACGCAACTATAACAATTCGTCGTCTTCTTTGCTATTTCATGTTTCACTGCCCCCTCCCAGAATCACAAACGTCAGGAAATAATGCGTGCGAGCACGCTGTATTTGTCTTCTGGTCTGTCGCATCAGGTACCCAATGCTGCATTCTATGTTTCAGCGGGGGGGTCTGAACGGCCTTACACTGTCCTTTGGTGCGAGGATAACTTGGCGTTCTGCGTAGCGCATTGACGTTGCTATTGTGATTGTCGTTGTCGTCGTCCCGCGCTTTGCCCACCGACCCGCCCGCGATCAGCCCGCCCGCCCCATCCCCAGGGCGTCTCGATCGCGACCTGCCTGCGACCCTGCCTGCGACCCACCTGCGACCCACCTGCGAGCCGCCCACGACCAGAAAGGAGAGAGGCGAAGCTAATGGTTAGAAGCTGATCTTCCCGGCGACATCCTCACTGGTTGACGCGTGACGACTCTTCGATTTACTAGACCTTTTTCGTTCTTTGTTTTGCGAGCCGTTGCCATCTACCTCGACCCATGTTGTCCCCTCTCCTCCTCCTCCTCTTCCTCCTCCTCCTACGCCTCCCCCGAATCATCATAATAATATCCCTCGTGCTTACTCCTGCCCTTATGTCTTATCCGCAATAGCGGGGTATCAGTACATCTCTCCTGCTAGCTCGATCGTAGCACGCCGTCTCACCCTCTGCATCCCCAACCCCCGAAGGTCCCGAACAGAGTTACACTGGCCCGCGTCAGGGGTGTGCTCAAGCTTGGCTTCGTGTACGACGGGTACTCGGGCGCCAAGGGCCCGAACTTCGCATCCGGCCTCAAAGCTCTTTGCCGACCAACCCGACCCGCTGGTTAACGTCAAAGATGCAGGACTTGCTTGGGACGGCTCGGAATACAGAAAACCCGCTCGCGGAGAGGGCGGGGACGTGGAGGGACTGGTCCCCAGCGCAGGCAAATTTGATGGAGGTGTTCCTGCTTCTCCATGCGCGATCTCGCATAGACGACGGGCTCCAGAACGCTTCGCGCCATACCAGCGGCATGACTGACACATTCAGGATCATGTGCAAAGACGTCAACAACCTGAAGAAGAATGGCAACATTGCTGACCATTGTGGCCCAGCCCTTTTCGGAATTGGTTGCCCTCATTCAGCTGCTTTCCACAGCGGCTTCATCGAGCGCAGCGCCTGCGAGTGCGCCCACGGCTTCTCCAACAACGCCAGCGCCGGCGCTGCCAGCCCGTGTTTCCAAGCTTCGAGGGCGCGCCCGAGACGACGCGCGAGGTCTCCGATTCGGACGGCATCACGGTCATGGCCATGACCTGCATGTGTCCCCGAGTGCGTGGCTCCCCGCTCACTGCCCATCTCAAGTGCTGCGCGGTGTGGCCAACGTTCGGGAGCAGGGGCGCCCATGGGGGGCCCAGGCAAGGCCAGGGGCAAGGCACGAGCCCGAAAGCTCCCTGCCTCAGCACTGCCCAGCGGCAGGCGACTTCGTCCCAGACCGAAGTCACATGTCCATTCGGCAGGTGGTCTCATCGAGATGCCAGTCGCCCTCACGAAGCGGAGCGGGAACTAAAAGAGGACCAAAGACGCCTACATCAGAGAGAGCGCGTTTCACAGGCGCTTGCCTTGGGAATATTCAGCGGCGCGTTTCGAATCGGGGGGTGACCCCACCCCCTGACACTCGGCGCCGTCGACCACCCGGAAAGGAAACATTTGGTCCGGCCGCGCCTCAGCCGAAGGAGACTTTCTTCTCGCCCGCCCACGCAGACTCGCCCGCACACACGGCACGCACGAACACGAAACCGAAACCGTTTTCTCGGTAGGGGGGGTCTCCGTTCCACTTCGATCTCACCCCCTCACCTCCGACAACAGCACAGTATGTCTCAGCGACCTGGCGGAATCCACACTCAAAGACCACGTGCTGGCTGTGGGTCACGGCTTCCAAAGGCTGAGAGGGAATGCGAGGTCAAAACACGCTTTGACTTAGGTCGTGAAGCCAAGGGTGGAATAATTTTGATCGTCGGCGTGATAAGCCCCAGGGTTGTCCAGTTCCATACTGACGAACGGGTCATGGGCACCACCGCTCGTATGGAAAGGACATGTGAGCGCGTGCTACCACGCCAGCGTTCAAAATAATGTGTTCGCCCAATGGCTGTGTGAACTGATGCTGCGGTTGGGCATCTGAGATAAACTTCGATATGCATGCTTTCCCAAACCCTCCCCCCGCCCCCCCCGGGAACCGCCCCCCCTCGGCCGCGCCACTTCGACGGCAACCGCCTTTTTCCTGGGAAACAGCAGAGGGACCGTGAGAATGAACAGGAAGAGGAAGAGCAGCGCAGATGATGCAAGATAGCGAAGTACTGGAAAACACTGCACGCGCACCGCGCAGTCGCAATTCGTGGGGGTAGTGGCCCAAACAGCCAACTTCAACTGCGCGAGGCTCCCATGTGGTGGGGTTTCTGCGCGTGGATCGGATTGTCGATTCTACATCAAGTTTTCGACTTTTCGTGGCGCGAAGGAGACAAACCTCCCTCTCCTGGTCGCGCACAGGTCGCGGGCGGGTCCCAGGAAGGTCGCGAACGGGTCGAGGGGGGGAAGGAATGGGTCGCCGTGGCCGGGGAGGCAAAGCGCGGGGCGACGACGATAACACCAAACGAGCGATAACCGTTACACTGTGCGCCACTGAACCAGTGTAAGACCGTTCGGAACCCCTGCTTTGAAGAGAACCCAGCAGACCATCAAGCCTCTCATATGGGATACTCCTCACATGGAAGGCGCATGCAAAGACTACAAGAAATACCACGCACGTTACTACAAGTAAATAGTCGCTCGCCACTTTAGTTTAATCACGCATATGCTCTGTCATCTCTTGGGGGCGTTGCGCAAAGCCCTGCTGCGCAATCAGTTCGCAACGCCTCCTCAAACAATACATTTCTTTGGAGCTTCTGGGCACTGGGCGCGGAGCAGCATCACGGCCACGCCCATGGGCTCAGGCACAGGCCGCAGGCGCAGGAACCGTAGCTTTTGAGTGCCAGCACAGGAGGAGCGGCCAACGAACCCACAACAACGAGAACGGGAGAATCCGGCTGTCCGTCCCCCCCTTTTCCCACACACACACACACACAACCACACAGCACGGCACACACACACACACACACACTACGCACACCACGCACACCCACACACCCACACGCGCACACACACACACACACACACACGCACTCACGCACGCACGCACGCACGCACGCACACACACACACATACACACACGGACACACACACACACACACGCACGCACGCACGCACGCACGCACGCACGCACGCACACACGCGCGCGCACGAACACACACACACACACATACACGCGCGCGCGCACGCACACACATTTACACACTCACACACACATTCACACTCACACACATGCGCACACACGCACGCACGCACGCACGAACGCCCACGCACGCACGCACACACACACACATTCACGCACGCACGCCCACCCACGCACGCGCACGCACGCACGTACGCGCACACACACACACACACACACACACACACACACACACACACACACACACACACACACACACACACACACACACACACGCGCGCGCGCGCGCGCACGCGCGCCCATCTTGCAGGATAGGCCTGGCAAGGGTCGGCGCGGCGTGCTCCTAGAAGTCGTCCTCCATTCCTGAGAGGCGGCGAATCCCGCCGCGGCGGCGAGGAACGGACAGCGACGTCGGCGTCCTTCTCCCCCCCCAGATTCGGCGTCGCGAAACAGTGCACCATCGCAGACAACCCCGAGCAGGGCCCCAGGCCCCACCTTCCCGTGCTGCTGTTCGAGCCGCAGCGGTCTGTGAGCGCCCCCTGGGCCCGAGACCGGGCGCGCGCCCCCGCTGCGGAACGACTGCCACGCCCAGACTTCAGTCGGGCGTGTACCCCGACAGGGGGATTTTCGACGAAAAATAAAAACATACCATAAACATGCCTCAAAAAGGTGAAAATTCCACAAAAAATAGTCCCCAGACTATTGCTGCACTATTTGTTGGCCCTTTTTGAATATTTTATACTTTTCGTCGACAATCCCCCTGTAGGGGGACAGGCCCGACTTCAGCCCAGACCCCCAGGGTCTGGCAGATCCTGGGGACCACCTTGGATCAGGGACACCACTCGCAACACCCGACGTGCGCGGACATGCTCGTTGCTCGTGGCCGTGCCGTATTAAGAGGCCTCCTAGGTGGGGTCCGAGTGCATGGGGTCGGAGGAGCTCGCCGCATCGCCAATAAATCGGCGATGCATCGCCGATGCATCGGCGAAGCACTGGCGACGTCGGCGATGCATCGGCGACGTCGGTGTGGGGAAACTTGGGCCCCACGTCGAGCCGCATCGCCGATGCGTCGGCGATGCGGCGCGATCCTCCGACCCCGCCTGCTCCGACCCCGTCTAGGAGGCCTGGAGACATGCTCGCTGCTCGCGGCCGCGCCGCACCGACCTCCGGGGGCGGGCGCTGCCCGCCCGCCTCCTCGGGACCTCTCGGGGCCCGAGCGGTCCTGGAAGATGAGCTGCTCGCACGCCTCGTCCCCGCGGCAGGCCTCCGTGCAGCGGTCGCCGTCGACCTCCTCGCCGCCGGGGCTCTCGAGGCGGCCGCGGCCCTCTGCCACCGGCAGGCCGGGCAGCTCCAGGCACGTGCGCGGCGGCGCCCCCTTGTCCTGCGCCAGGAGCACCTGCTGGGGGGCCTGCTTCCCACAACCACCACCATAAGTTGGAGGGGGGAAGGAGGTGGAGGACGAGGAGGAGGGCGAAGAGGAGGAGGAGGAGGTGGAGGAGGAGGAGGAAGAGGACCCCCTCCTCGTCCGACTTGTGGTGGTGGTGGTGGAAAATAAGCCCATCACCTGCAGAAGCCTACGGTCGGGAGCTTTGGCATACCGTGTCGAATCGGCGGCCCCAGCGACACGCTATGCCATGCTAGCGGATAGCGTGTCCCTCCGCAACGCGGGGCCGGAGGCTGGGAACAGCTCGGGAAGTGGCAATCGGCGGAACCACACGCTATCCAGAAGATCCTGCCCGTATGCTGCATCTTCGGGGGGGCCTCGTCTGTCCCATCGCGCCAGTTCTCCGTGTAGAATATGCGCCGAATGGATGTCTAACGCGTCGAGTCCTTGTCGAATCCGTGTCGCCTCTGTGTCAGATTCGCTTCAAGTTCACGTCGAATCCGCATCTATCCCACGTCGGAGCACAAGAACATACTGCGTGTTCACAAGGCAGGAAAAGTCGCACGACGACGCAACGTAATCTGCGGAGGGCAGCGGGAAGGCACCGCTCCGTGTTTTGACAGCCCCCAGACACATGCAACCCATTGAACAATATCAGGGCGCCGACGCCGACGCCGACGCCGAGGCCGACGCCGCCGTCCCCAAATCCCAATTGGATCCCCGCCCCCCCGCTGGGTGGGTACGCCCGTGAGCCTCGCGAAGGCCTCGCGAAGGGGCTCGCTCCCCCGCCCTGTGGCCGTGGCCCGGTGTGCGTGGCGTGGTGGAGGGGGGGGCCCATGCCCCTGCCCCTGCTGCCCTCTGTGGGGTGTGCGGCGGTGCTGCGGTGCCGCCGTCGCCGTCGTCGTCGTCGCCGCTGTCGTCGCAGTCGTCGTCGCATCCCCCCATCCCATCTGGGTGGAGGAGGAGGAGGAGGAGGAGGACGAGGAGGAGGACGAGGACGAGGAGGAGGAGGAGGAGGACGAGGAGGAGGAGGAGGAGGAGGACGAGGAGGAGGAGGAGGAGGGAGCGGAGGGAGGAGGAGGAGGGCGGGGGGGGGGAGGAGGATGTGGGGAGGAGGATGTGGGGAGGACCCTCCGTCCCATCTGGGCGGTGGGGGGGGGGCAGCTGCGGAGCCCTGAAGGGCCCATCCTGTCCGGGGGCGTTGGGGGCCTGTGGGCCCTCGACCAGGGATCACGTGTGCACCGATCCTTGGTCTATTGACTACCTACCAGACCACCCCAACCCAACCCGAAAACCCGAATTTCGGGTTGGGGGGGGTACGGGTTCCATACGTGCTTTCTCGATGTTCCCCGACCCCCCCACACTGGAAATCGAGGGTAAATCTGGGCCTTCGGGTTGGGTTGGGGTGGTTTGGTGGGTGGTGATCTATGGGATCGGCCTGGCAATGATCGGTCAAGGACATGAACCTCAGCAAGAATACTCCGAACTTCTTATGAATCAACCGGGGGGTGACAAACGTGAAAACGAGGCGCGGCCAACCCCAGACGCCCCCTGGCATCTCCGCGGTCGCGCCGCGGCCAACCCCCCCGGGCACTCCAAGGGGGGAGCGATGATGAAGCGATCCGAAGTACGCCTCTGGGCCGGATCTTTACGTCCGCAGGCTCTCACCGACGGAGCCGCCCCCGCTCTGCTTCCGCCAGCTTCCACCGGCCCGCCGCCGAGGCCGAGACGTCAGCTCCTCCGACCCTCGAAGGCGAGGCCCTTTCCGGAGCGTGGGCGAGGCGGCGACACTCCTGGGCGTCCAACTGTGGGGAGTGGCTCAGGTGGGGAGACATCGATGCTGGAAGAAGGAAAAACCGCATAAACCTAAACTTGTGGCGCTCCGCGCGGATTTCGTGGATCCGCGCCACACACCCCTCCTCGGCGCGCGGAGCGCGCCAAGGGCGGCGCCGCCGGGGGACCCAGGCGCGGATCCAAGAAACCCGCGCGGAGCGCCAAAAGTTTATGTTTATGTGGTTTCTTTTTCTTCTTCGAGATATAGGGAGCCCACAGAAGACGTACGCGCCCAGCTATGTACATGAACACGGCCCCTGGAAACGCGAGCCCGGCCGCATGACACGAACATTCGCGCAATGCGCACTCTCGAAACCAGCGTGGATTCATGTACGTCTACGTCCTTCTTTCGCTCCTGAAGATACAGTCGGGGCGCTGAAGAAGGAACCCTTTTCGCTGGGGAGGGGCTCGGTGTTCCTTTATTGTTTGAGAGTTTGCCTCAGGTCGTGCTTTGGTTCTCGATGGGAAGTCGAAGTTTAACTCGTGAACAAAAAGGAGCCGCGTTCCTTATTTGGGGTTCCTTGGGTCAGCGCCCCAGCTGACATCGGGAAGTCGGCATCGGGAACGGCCCTGCCGAAGCTGGACCTTCGCTCCTGCAGAGGAGATGGAGAGGTGCGACGTGGGGACCCGCACGCTCCTGAAGATAGGCATCCGATGGCGAAGCCCCCACGCCCATCCGCGGTGAGGACTGTCGGGGCCCCCGTCGGCGACGGGTGGGCCATCGAGGGTCGATGCGCGCGCTCCCCCCCCCACACCCGGAGGGGCTCCAGAGGGGGGAGGTGGAGGAGGAGGAGGAGGAGGAGGAGGAGGAGGAGGAGGAGGAGGTGGAGGAGGAGGGGGCCTCTGGGGAGGGGGCTTTCCAGGAGGCCTCCCCCAGGGGGCTCCTTCGCACCCCCCTGCTTTGACGAAGCCTCCGAGGCCCCTGGGGGGGGGGGGGGCTCTCTGGAAAACAGCCTTCGGGGATGGGCAGACCCCTCTTTAGCAAAACGTGGTTTAGTGAAAACGACCTGAGGCCCAAACCTGGCGGGCGCAAGCCTGGAAAATAACGGCCTCGGCGCCATCTCGAGAACCGAAAACGGACAATTCACTAATCGACGTGTCACTGTTGGGGGTTCTGTCCACCCCCGACCCCTCCCCATAAGACTCCCTCTGGAACCCTCCCCCCCCAGATCATTGGATACAGATGTTTTGTCGGTCGCGATCGGCAGCGACCGATCGGCACTCCAAATCGGTCGCGGCCGATCGCGAATCGGTCGCGTCCGGACGCCACCGATCGGTCACGACCGATCGTCGCGACCGATTTTGAAGCAAATCGGTCGCGACCGATATCGAAGCCTGAAGCAGAATCGGTAAGCGACCGTTCTCGTCGGTCGCGACTGGAAGATTCCAGTCTCCCATGCTCAGGGCCCCCCCTCCCCGGCCCTTTCCGGCCACATGCCTCGGCTCTCCGACGGCCGCTCGGGACGATCCTCGGGCACATCTCCCGCCATGCGCGCTCTCGGCGAGGCGCGGCCGCTGCAGGAAAAACGAACCTCGCGGCCGGCGAGAGAACCTCCGCGCGAACGCGCGAGAAAACTTCGCGCACCTCGAGGCTCGGAGCAGGGCAAGCGGAGGCAGCGGCGGCTCAAGATTGTCGGGTGACCCACAAGGAGGTCCAGCTGCAAGGGGGTGGTGCCATAGATCTGGGGCAAATGTCTTGCAAATGCACTGCGCCGGAGAATTGCTTGGCATTGTTTTGCAAGCGATGCATTTGCACGTGGAAATGCGGCAGTACATTTGCGCCCCGAAATGTACAGCACGCCTTAGATGTATTGCAACCCCACAAATCTACTGCACCAAATCTATTGCACCACCCCCTTGTCGCTGGACCCCCTTGTGGGTCAAGCCTAAAATTGGCCCCTGGACCCCTCCCGGGGCCACAGCGCACAGGTTGTCGTAGCCGCGTCCAGCCGTGGCAAAGAGGCCCCCCCCCCCGAAGGCCAAGCACCGTTGTCTGAACTCGCCCTTCCCTGATGGTGCTGCCCCTGTCTCCCCCCTGTCTCCCGGCCGGAACCACTTCTGGGCCACCTCATCCCCCTAGCCAGTGGTAAGGCTCCGGGTTGCGCACGGACTGCCCCCCCCCCCCCTCCTCCTCCTCCTCCTTCTCCTCCTCCTCCTCCGCCTCCTCCTCCTCCTCCCTCCTCCTCCTCCTCCCTCCTCCTCCTCCTCCCTCCTCCTCCTCCTCCTCGTCCTCCTCCTCCTCCTCCTCCTCCTCGTCCTCCTCCTCCTCCTCAGATGGTCCCAGCTAGCCTCACCAGGCCCCCCGAGCAGCCCCGTGCTCCACGCCCCTAACCCTGGAGCGAGGAGCGCTCCAGGGGGCGCCCGCAGGAGGCGGCCCCTCGGCCAGAGACCTCTCAAACAGATGGGCTCCAAATATCAGGGGGACGTAAGACCTGGGCAATTACAGGGGACTCGGAAATCCCCGACGAGGTCGTCAAAAAAATGACGAGGCCGAGCCTGCATTTCGACGAGGCCTCCCGCTGCAGACATCCCACGAAACTCCTCCTCGTCAAAATCCGAGGCGCGGTCGTCAACAAAAACAATGGCGAACCCGAGTCCTGGCAAACCCGGGTCTTACGCTCCCCCGATAATAGATGGGGTCCTCGCCATCGCTCGGACGTCGCTTCCGTGTGCTTTTTGTTCCGGTTTCGTGCGTGGCTTTTTCGCCAAATGATCAGGGATGTTCCTCAAGGGTCCTCGCCGAGAGAAAAATACACACGTCCGAGCGATGCCGAGGGTCAGTAGATCGCGCTGGTATCGGCGATGCATCCGCAGCGACGTCGATGCGTCGGCAACGCCAGCGCGGAGGAATCCGGATCCCACACCGAGCCGCACCGCCAATGCATCGGCGATGCGGCTCGGCGATGCGGCTCGATCCTCCGACCACATCTACTCCGAACCCATCTGGGAGGCCTAGCCCAGGGGGGCCGCAGGATGCTATGTCCCACACGTGCGATGTCCTGATTTTTCAATACGGGCGGCCCTCTCTCCAGGACACGTTTTTACATCCGGAGTCGTTTTTGATGACAGTCCCAGGGCCTGGCGAGGGCCCCAGGAGGCGGAAAACGGCGAAGACCCCTGTCCCGATTTCTTCATGACGCGATCTAGTTTTCAGGTCATAGCTCGGCTCTCCAGCGGCC